AAACTTAGGTATCCAGACAACTTATAGGACGATTTAAAATCTATTGGATTTAGGGCATGGAGAAGAGTTGTCAAAGACAGGGACGAATGGAGGATTGTTCTGAAAAAGGCTTTGGTTTATAACGAGCTGTGATGTCCTTAAAGATGATGAGATGCTTAACTGCTATAAACTATTAAATTATAGGGACAGTGAATAAACTCTACAGAAAAGTCAAACAAATTTGACAAATAGAAAAGGATTTTCACGAATGCACTAAAAATGCCTCTTCAAAAAATTGTCAGTGGGTATTGGACTACATTGATTCTCTGCTGATCTTGAAGATTGACTCTGTAGAAAAAAATGCTCACTAGTATATTAATGTTAATAATCGTTTTAATGATGACTATATTAGATTTTACCACCTAAGAGCTGAATGTAAACAACTGCCTGAAATTTGCTCCAGCAACTATATCAAAGGTATAGATACTGACCTAAAAAATAATCCCAAATCATTTAGGAAGTACATCAATGTCAGATTTAGTCATATCCTACCTAACTTCTTATTTTATTAAGTCCAATCTGCAACAAATGGTCAAGACATAACTAATTTATTTATGAACTTCTTCCAAACTATGTATTTACCAAATAACAATAACCTTTAGGTACCTATCCATCTATTAAATAGCAACTTTAGTACAAATATTTGTCATTATAACATTACCATGACTGATATTTTTAATGGCATAAAAGAGCTGCCAATAAGCTTACTGATGGAGTGCTTAATTGTTTTATTTTTTTATTAAAAAAGTGTGTCTGTAAAAAAGTTATGTTGTTCCTATATTTAAAAATGGTCAGAAAGGCAACATTGAAAATTATTGTAGCATTTGTAGACAATCTGCAATCCCTAAGCTCTTCTACTGTCGTATGACAAAGCAACTTTCTTGGTTCTGTAAAGGCTTCTCAATATCTCAATCACAACATGGTTTTCATAGCAAAAAATCCACTGCAACATACACAGATTTTTTCAAAGCATTTGATCGTGTAGATCACCAAATACTTTTGGACAAATTAATTAATGTAGGTTTTCATGTCAGGTTTGTTGAATGGATTAAAAACTCTACATCTGGAGTTCCTCAAGGAGGCCACACTTTTCCAATTCTTTTTAATATCTTCGTTAACAACATCACTTCCTATTTCCTAAATAGCAAATGTCTAATATTGGCATGTGACTTGAAATTTTAGAAAGTTATAGATAGCCTAAAAGATCAAGCCTTTTTACAAGATGACTTAACTGACTACAAGATTGGTGCAAATCCATTGGTGATTAGAACAAACTCCGCTTAAATGTAAAAAAATGTTGTTTTATAAAGTTTATTTCGTAAAGTCAATAGAATTGAAACTTGAAACAAGCTATACTTTTAATAATCAGCCACTGAATTATGTTTCTTCTATTTGGGATTTGGGTGTTATTTTTGATGAGACGCTTACTTTCTGTGGCCACATAAACTCTATTTCAATAAAGGCAAAAGAATTTATCGGTTTCGTTACGAGGAATTGCAAGTATTTCTCCATTGATTCAACAAAATTAGTGTATTATTGCTTAGTTAGAACTATTTTGGAATATTGTTCAATTAATTGGTCACCCTATTTTCAGAACAATATACATATCATAGAAAGAGTCCAGCATAAATTTTTGAAATATTGTGCTTATCATGTCCACACTAACATTGAAAATCATAAATATTCCTGTATCGAACAACAATTATCTTTACCCTCACTCAAGAACCGTCAGGAGCTATATTTATATATAAGATCATACGTGGATTTATTGATTCTCCAAACCTGTTAAGCCAGATTAACTTTAATGCTCCCCCTCAAGCTCTACATTACCACAATGTTTTCAATATTCCTTTCCACAGAACTATGGTTATACAACCTATTGGATAGATAGGTATATGGGGCTATTAAATGTTCTGGATTCTGTTATTTTCAATATAACTTTAACCCAGTTAAAAAGATCTCTTGCTTTGTGATATGTATATCGGAATTATTGAACTTTGTTCTTGTTATATTTTGTTTGTTTTTTTAGCATATAAGATTTTAAGTCTCATTTTTTTAACTTTTTATAAATAATTTCAAGTTTTGAATCCTAACTGTGATATTGTATATTGTAATTTAAACTGTTAATGGAGTTAACTCGTGTAGGGTCATATGTTCAACAATGAACCACACGTACACAATGAACCAATCAATCTTTCGTTAATAATACGCATTTTAGAAAAACGCCGGCACCACTGTACGAATGTACTAGATAACCTAGAACTAAATCTCAGTTATTGTTTTGCCACCACGAAATGTGCACGTGTTATAACGGATTATAAAAATTTGAAGGCATCGAGTAAAATTTTCAAGGTAAGCATTTTCGGTTTTATTTCTTACATGGGTGAATTATTTTAATTTATTCTCTGTGGTACGATACATTGATACATTAGTTAGTGTTTTGGTATATAACTCTAAAATACACTGTTGTAGATAATGACTTATTGGTCTTTGATTGTTATAAGGTGCGGTACGTACACAATGAACCAAACTATGTTGGGACACAATGAATCATGGTTCACTGTGTACCCTTCCAAGTTTTTAGATTTATTTTTATTTTCAGGATGGTCGCGTTAAGAAATAGAAAGAAAGAAAGGCGCACATACTGTTGATCAAATGAGGACAGCATTGGACTTAGTAACCAGGGGTATGAGTATTCGAAAAGCAGCAGTAGAAAGTAATTTAGCATATCCTACATTAAGGCGATACGTTGAAAAAAGAAAGTGTGCTCCAAACGAAAACATAAGATTTGTTCCTAACTACGAGACGAACATGATTTTCACAAGTGAACAAGAAGATGCTCTTAAGACCTACTTGAAAACTTGTGCACTTATGTTTTATGGATTGACATCTGTCGAATGTAGAAAGGTTGCATATCAAATGGCTCAAAGGAATAATATCAAAATTCCTGATTCATGGAGGAATGCAGAAATGGCTGGCAGGGAATGGCTCCGAAGTTTTAGGAACAGGCATACAGATCTGTCTCTGAGAAAACCAGAGCCGTGCAGCCTGGCACGTGCGACAGCATTTAACAGAGATAATGTTAATCGCTTTTTTGACAACTTATATGCTGTAATAAATCGAAATGCCGCATTTTCTGACGGTACAAGAATTTACAACTTGGATGAAACTGCAACACAACGGTGCAAAAACTCAGAAAATATTGGCACCAAAAGGAAAAAGTGTTTGGGTAAAGTCACCAGCGGTGAGAAAGGGACACTAGTAACAACGTGCTGTTTTATATGTGCCGGTGGTTATGCTTTACCACCAGCAATAATTTTTCCGCGGAAAAATTATAAGATTTCATGTTAAAAGGCGCCCCCCACTGGCTCTTTAGGCCTTGCTACGCCGACAGGATGGATGAATTCGGAGTTGTTTGTAGAGGTAATGAAACATTTCATTAAACATAGCAGAAGCTCTCATGATAATCCATCAATTTTAATATTCGATAATCATGAATCTCACTTATCAATCGAAGCCTTAGATTTGGCAAAAGCTGCAGGGGTTAATATTGTAACTTTGCATCCCCACACATCGGCTAAATTACAGCCACTTGACGTTGGTTTATATGCGCCGTTCAAGACGTAATTATAACAGTGCCATAGAGTCGTGGCTTCTAAGAAATCCTGGTAGGCCGATATCTATTTATGATTTAGCTGAATGTATTGGAATAGCACACAGTCGTTCCATGACTCCTACAAATATAGCCAATGCCTTTAAAAAATGCGGTATATATCCCTTTGATCGGGATATCTTTACAGATGAGGATTTTTTGCCAAGTGAGGTAACAAACAGACCATGCCCAAATGATGAAAGTTCTAATAATACAAGAGACCTTCAAGGAGGTGAACATAACGATGAAATCACTGTGCCAAATGAAAATGACAGTTCTTCAACTAATAACATTCAATCAGAAAACCCAAACATACGGAAAGTCAAGCAGGACCATCATTTATTCCACCACAACAATTTATGCCTGCATTGAAAGCCCAACCTCGTCAAAATAATAGGAAGAACAGAAAAAGTAAAAAAAGTATTATTGCCACAGATACACCGGAAAAAAACATTATTGAACAAGAAAGGTTGGAAGCTAAAAGAAAGAAGCAAATGAATGAAAATAGGCAAGCTAAGAAGAGAGTGCGTTTTGTTAATGACGATAATACAGATTCAGAGGAGGATGAAATAGATATCCTTGAGAGTGACAGTGACAGTGATAGTGGAGAGTATGACAAGATCTTCCAGTTTTAAATCCAAATTTGTTTAGTACCCAAGGTTTTAACCCTAACGTAGAAGATTATGTCCTGGTAGAATTTCATCCACCAAGGTCAATAGTATATTTTGTGGGAAGATATACAGATAGAACAAGATGGGAATATCGCATATCATTTTTAAGACTTAAGGATAAATATAGTGAGCAGTTTGTTATGCCCAATGTTCCTGATATAGCTTCCGTCAACAAGAAAGATGTGAAATATATTTTGCCGAGACCAAAACTATGTGGCAGCACAAAACGACAACAATCTTATTTTGCGTTTACAGTGTCTTTTTCTTTATTAAATATCAGATAGAAATTATACCTATCTTCAATTTTATTGTCCTTTTCACCTATTATTTTGCTTTTATATAATAAAACTTTGAAATCTTACTGTTGTTTCTGTAGACCTAATTTTTATTAGGTATGTTTAAAATAAAGCAGTTTGGTTCACTGCGTACGCAGCACTAGTTCATTGTGTACCACCCGTGGGACACAATGAACCAACGGCACTTAAAGGAAAAAAACAATAATAACTCAAAAACATTAATTTTTATTGCTAACCAAATTATGTGTAATATATTACTAATATGTGTTACTTATACTGGTACAATTTCGTGCTTCTAGGTTAAAAGGGAACTGATATAGACAATTTTAAATTTTGAGTGGTTCATTGTTGAACACAGGATCCTATTAAATAAATAAAATAAAAAATAAAAACTACATTAATGAAACCACAATGAACAAAAATATTAATTTTATCATTGGAACCCTGATGTAAAAGTACATTCTAACGAACAAATTAATATATGGGTCATTTCAGTCTTATCGGTTCAGTAACAAGAAAGAGAATACTATAGAGTGAGAGACAGTAATAACACTCAAGATTCACAAAAAAATCATTCCGGTTATACTATTTGAAAAGTAATGGTTTAAGTGGGTAGGTGGGTATCTAACCACTTTATTCTCTCTGAAGAATTCCCATTATGAACAAAATAGATTATGATACTGAGAAAAATTAAATAAAAATGTATATATCAAGCAAAAATTATAACTTGTGTAAACATTTGAAAATTAATAAAAATAGAAAAATGGCAAATAAAAAATAATGTTAATTATACTTTAGGCAAATATGCACAAATTCTTACTAACTCATATGAAGCGAAAAAGTCAATCACATGATTTTAATTAGCAAGTCTAGCCGATCTGTAGACAAAAAAGACCATAATTAATATGCTGAATACTACAAGAAAGAAATATCAGCAAGGCTTGTTACTCTGGAGGAAACATGAATTAAAAGGTAAAACAAATTAACGGAAAGACTACAAATTTCAGGGAACTGGCAAAGAAATTGCAGACAATTTTTATAAATAAAAAGTAACAACTGTGAGATCATACAATGAATTCAAGACATGAAAAATAAAGTCAGCTCAGATTTTGATGAAGTATCAAAGAATCTCTTAATACGTTGTGCCTTTGAGTGAGCCATTTCGCTAATGCATATTCTGAATCATTAATTTGAATTTTTCCAGAATCATTAAAAATATCAAAAGTTTTGGCAAAAAGTGTTCCTATGCTATTAGAGTATATGCTATGGTATGGCCCATAAGGCCAATTTCTTTATTTCTTTTTTTTTTTCAAAATATTTGAACTTGCTGTTTGTTGCTGATTATTAAAATTTTTTGATAGGTATAATCTTATAAATTAATCTCAGCATTGATATCATCAGGGAAAAAGTGTAGAGACTGCTGTGTATGACTTTCTGGAGAAAATGACAACTTCATTGGAAGAAAAAGGTAGTTCAACGGATTTATTCTTGGACACCAAAAACTTTTTATTCCTTGGAATGCTCAATCTTTATGCAAAAATTAAGAGCAGTATATAGTTCATTCACTGAAGTTCAAATGGGGGGCACCACTGAGATGGATTTTGTCATATGGTCACAGAAATGTAGATTGTTGTTGTGAAGACAGGTAATGTGGAACACCTTTCAGTAGAGGCTCATTCATCCAGAGGCCTTCCACAAGGTAGTGTCTTGGGTCCCACCCTCTCTCTACTTTATATAAATTATGTTTACAAAGTAGCAAATGATACAGCCCATATTTTAAATTTTGCAGATTAAACAAATTACTACCTAATAACATTTTTTGATCAATAAGTTTCTAGAACTGTTTTGTTGTTGCATGTCAAAGTTAAAAATTGTGTTTATATGGGATTAAACCACAATTATTGATTGTAATGAAAATTAAATTTTTAACTAAAATTTTAACATTTTGATTTCTGGATACACCAACCCAACTGTATAAAATATTAAAAGTAAAAAGATCTCTTATGACATAAAGTAATTGGTGACATTGAGTGTAAAGTTAAGACTTCGCAGTTAGTCTAGTTATTAAGGATATTTAATTTGTGTTTGACTAGTTTGAGGGAATGAATGTGGATGTTATAAAATGCTGACCAGACACAAGTAGCATATTCCATGTGAAGACAAACAATTGCACAATAGAACATTTTCTAAAGAACTGAACTGAAAAAGTAGTGAAATTTTGAGTGGTTGACAAGAAAACTGTTTTCAACAAGATTGATCATATACACAAAATTAATTAGATTTTTGGATTTGAAGATGGCCATGACTTTAATTTTGTTGGGTATAGATATATGTCATTTTTAAACACCAGTCTTGCTCTATAAGTTATATTGAAGAGTATCACAATACTTTTCAGGGAAGCTCAATTTAAGGTCGTCAGCAACAAGTAGATAGTGACTGTCAGGGAAAAACTCATGTATATAATTAATGAACATGTTGAACAGATAGTGGTTAGGAAATATTAAAGCTACAATCTCAGTTTTGTTTAGTACTAAATGTTATTGTTATAATTTTTATTTCAATAAATACAGAACAAAATAACAAAAAAGAAAATAGCTCACATAAAAGACAGTATATTATTGCAACTTATATTCTGCCCAATACAACTGAAACAACCAATGAAGGAACCAAATTGAACTTATCTCCAAAATTATAATACAGAAATAAATTTATTAAGATAGTAATAGCTTAAGCTCCCACTGCAGGATGACTATGTTCATAACATAGTTAATTAAACTCACATTTGTACATACATTTAAAATTAGAAGAAAACATTGATAATAGGTTGCCAGTCAAAAAGTGGTCACAAATTTTTAATTCAATTAAAGTAATTATTAATTTTTGACAAAAATTTTATTTTTCCCACTTATTTTTTAAATAAGATATGCTGCTCATTACAGATATGCATGTTTTTTATATCAAATTAAAACTAATATTTTTCTTAATATGATAATATAAGTTTGACTGAAAAAAAATGGTTGAAAATTAGGGTGCCAGCTTTTAAAAATGTTTATTAAAGATAAAATAAGACAGGTAGTGTGCTAGACTCCGACAAAGTTAAGTTTGGGAATATGACTCATAAATCAACGATGCGCGGTGGTTCTTGTTTACTAGTGTTACCATAGAAACGGCCAGTTTGCTGTTTGCCAGTGTCGTAGTTGTGTATCACAGAGAGTGTTTGACTTGTTGATTTTATCGTGTTGGATATTTTATTATTTTATTTTAGATTAGTGCTTAGTATCATATTGGTAGTAGTAAATAGTGAATTATTAAGTCATTTAGTGTATTTATAGTGTGTTAACTTTAGTTATTAATAATATTTATTTAACAATATGGCTTCTAAAAAGATAGGAACAAAGGGGCTGGGATTAAATAGTCAAGCAAAGTCAATAATTTATAATGTTACTATATTTATGGAACAAGATGGAGCACATTTCAAAGCTACCGAAAACCTGTTAATACCTTTAAAGAAATTGACGTAAGTATTATCAATGATATTTTATTTTCTTATGTGTGTATGTGTGTGTGAAAGATATGACACAGAAACAAGTACATCAGCCACATAATGTTTTATTTATGTTTAAAGATATTTTTTTTTGTTCTTGTTTGTTACTTTTTTTTTAGATATATGTATAAATCACTTAAGTTATACTAATTTATATTTCTACTTTCACATCTTTAAATGTAAAGTGGTGTGTATCTGGAAATATGTATTTTGCGAGTTTTTAACAATATTCTCCCATTGCTGTTCCCATTTTTTCTAATGGGGACATGTCTAATTTTATTTTTTTATTGAGTTAAATATATCCCTTACTGTATAAATATTGCAAAAGAATGCACTGCTTCCTTAGCTAGAGTATCAGCTTTTTCATTCTTTAGTATGCCTACAAGGCCTCTAACCCAAATAAATGTTACATTTAAATTTACAATCATATTTATTAAACAATATAACATAGGACACTTCATTCCTTCAAATTTTCTATTTTTATTATTACTCCTTCGAGTATGTTATTGGATGTTAACCAGGTAACACCTTTTATAATTGCAAAAAGTTCGGTAGTATAAATGCTACAAACAGGTGGTGATTTATATTTCAATGATTGGTTTGTATTTTGTATAAATACACCACAACCAACACCTTGTTATTACCTATTTACGATGTTTCATCAAATACTTAATAAAATAATATTTGCTTGAAATAGAAAATCACTGATCTCAATATGGATTGTGTTAGTAAATATGATTAAGTGCATTTTGTTTCTCAATATTTTCATCTAGTAGCATTTAACATTGGTAATTGTAGGGATAGGATTTTAGCAGCTACAGGTATAAGTAAAAACACCTTATCCAAAATAAGAAAAGAAGGTAGAGAAGTCAATAAAAATGAAGCGACTAGTTCATCTTTTACAAGTACAAAAAGAAAACGTTCTCGTGCTAAAAAAAATTAAATTGGACCAAGGAGAAGGGGAAATCATCAAAAATGTTACATATGACTTTACACCATCAAGAAAAGATCACTTACAATTAATTTTGTTACAAAAAGATCACCTACAAAAATTTTGTTACCTTAAATAAAATAGAATCAGTAAAATTATAAAACAATTGTTTGTTTGTACCCATTTAGAACGAAATGAAAGTTTTCTAGTAAAAACACTGATATAGATACATTTTTAACAAAAACGGTAAATACAATTCCTTTACAATTTTACTTACTTAGTAAACAAGATTTACTTTCCAAATATTTTAACTATTTCTATTTATTTAAGGTATTTATCAAAAACTACCTAAAAACTAACTAAAGAACAAAGAAATGGGATTGCCAGGATCAAAAGAATCATTAAGGAAAATCATAATTGGATTAGGCTTTAGGTAACACTTATTGTACTTGTACTTATTGTACAACATCATTAGTAGGTACAATAATGAAACTGTATGTATAAATTGAATCTAAAAAGATAAGAATCCTAGAGTTACCTTTTTTAGATAATTTAGGAAAGCTGTTTTCACTAATATTTAATTCCATTTCACAAGATACATCTTCATATTTTAAATCTTCAGCATTAACTTCTCGTTTAATTTCATTTAAATCCTTGGTATCCACGAAAAAGTTCTCTTGTGTGTTATAGGAAGCAAATTCATCTTCAGGAATGTCTTGCTTTATTTCAGTTAAACACACAAAATTATCTGGAATCTCCTTCTTCCAGAGAACGTCTTCAGGTTCTTGTTTAATCTCCATTTTATTTGTTTTATTGCAGTACCATATTCTTAAAATCAGCAGCTGTTCCTGAAACTATGCACTACAGTGCTAAAAATAGCTAAAACGGTAGGGGTCTAGGGATAGACCCACTGTAAATAAAAAATTGGCATACTAAACTTCGAAATGAGGCACCTTTTTCTTCAAATATCTGGAATAGGAGTGATGATTTTCTAATATTCTAATTGCTAACCTAGGTATTTCTGTATCAGTTTATTGTTTATTTATGAAATTAAAATTAATAAAACAAATCGGATGGTTCATATTTTTCATTTCGATTAATCGATTTTTCTATGACGATGCATTTTCAGTGCAGTGTAGGATTTTTATTAGCGGGTATTATTTATGTGATTTTTCAATTATCTTTTATATAATTTTTTTTAAATCGGCAATGGTAGGTACCTACATTTTTTTTAAGTTATAAACGATGGTCTGGAAATATTTCTTCCTTGCCTTACGCCTGCAACTTTAAAAGACATTATTAAATGCGATTTTCATTAGTTTTATGTGACAAAACTTCAAAGAATTAAAAAATGTAATTTTAAAACAAAAGAATTCATACCAAGATTAGAGAATAAATATAGAAATATAGAATAAATAAAGAGAATAAATCTCTATCCTACAGGCTTGCAAATGGATAGAGCATAGACGTATATATCATATATGTAACATGATAAATACTACCAAAACTGGACTACAAGGAGGGTGTAAAATTCTGGCAGAAAAATTAGGATGAAAATTAGAATTCATTTAGGATGTTTAGTTTATATAAAATTGTATATTCTGATCTGAAAAACGTAAATGTTCATAAGATTCTCACTATGGTCTGTTTTTTAACCAGGAGGAGTAATTCAAATTTTCCGGGCCGTAATGCTTGTTTGCAATTGGTCTAACCGCAGGAAAGTTTACTCCACTAAATTATGACATATTGACACTAATGACATTTGTGAAATTTATTTATTATTATTATTTTCCTCTCTAATTTCTAATAAAATCGATTTCTGATTCTGTAAGATGGCAGTTGCAGTCTATATTCTTTGATTTATTTAACGTCAAACCCGTCAAACATATCAAGGTTATGTTCATTGCACCAGGCAGTACTATGCCAGGCACCAATATTAAAGTTAACCCCAGTCATCAGTACTTAACCCCCAGAAAGAGGAAAATTGATGAAAACATATTAACTAGTGCCAATAATAAAGAGCAAAACTGCAGTAGCTTACAGCAAAAAACAAGTACTCAGGCTGTTGAATTGGACAAAGGTGAGTAGCTGGTATTAAATTTGAGCCTATCATTTATTTTTCCTTTATCCTTGTACATAATTATATAATTATTCTACATGCATATTAATTGAAATATATAACTATACATTGTATTATAAATATTAATTAGGGGCAATACGCATCATAGATTAGGGGAGGGATACGCATAAACGGGCACTGCACTCTACCACAGTATAGTGCTTTAAAAAGAATTCTCTTAAAGCACTATACTGTGACTCTACTCTAACCATGATACTATGAATAACAAGATAGGATCTTCCCGTAGCTCAAAATCGGTCGGGTTCACACTAGTTCGTCTTAACACAATTTACTATTTTTACTGGGAATAAGTCACCATTTTACTTCAAAAAATTTTATGTTGATGTTTCGGTTTTGTATTTTGAGAATGATTTTTGAAATGGAAATATAAACATCAAAATAAAGTTATTTTAAAGTAAAATTGTGGCTCATTCGCAGTAAAAAATAGTAAATTAAAGGATATTCAACTTAAAATATTTTCTCTATCTAATTCTAAATCTACAATGGTATATTTGCACTCTTTTGTAATATTTTTAACCTCCATAAGACTGAAGAGGTCCTTTCGGACCTCATTACATAATTTGTTCCTGTTTTTACATATGTGGAATTTTAAGTGCCAACCTCTCATCTATCTACAAATTATTCATTTTTTTGATAAACCATGAAGTAAACAGTAATGTCTAGGAGTTGAAGTTCAAACTTCATATGTTTGAACATATGAAGTTGGGGTCTGTTTAGACCCCGGATCATCCTTTATGATCTAACTTTATGTATAATTTTGCTAGCTATATCTTTACATATGTGATTTTAAGCATTGACCCCTCATCTGTCTACGAATTATTCATTTCTTTGATAAATCATGAAGTAAACAATGTCTAGGAGCTGGTTTGAGTTCAAATTTATATTTTTATATATATTTTATATATATATATATATATATATATATATATATATATATATATATGTATATATATATATATATATATATATATATATAGTATATATACAGTGGTGAGTGCTTTATCATCCGGCTTTTTAACGTAAGAGATAGAAAATACAGTTACCTTGTGAAATAAGAAGAGATGAAACTCGTAAAGGTGGGAAATAATCGATAGAAACCTATAATTTACATTACATTATATTACCACCGTCGATAGTCTCACACCTTTAGACGTTATTATAGTATTAAGTGTTTACGAGTCGCTTTAAAACCCGGCAAAAATAGCGGAAAGGATAGAGGATGGATTTTGTGAGAAAGAATGAGATATAGCTAGTTCTTAGACGTGGCTATTTGACTTCAGTCATAATTATACGGATGACCCGCGAAAATATTTTATTTTAATAATTTCTGATGTAAGAATAAATGATTGAATAAGTTAAGAATTAAAGTAAAAACATTAATTAGTAGCGATTTTAAATTATAAATCTTTAAGTTTATTTAATAATAAAAATAACTCAACTGAAATATTTGACTAAACTAAAGGTAGGTATGTTCTGTTCGAAAACATTTATCGTATGTGTAGTTGGTGTAATTATTAGACACGTGGTCTATTGACAAGAAGATTGGGGTTTCAATTCCCACCAAGGATAAAATTTTTGTTTTACCTCAATCAAAAAATAATAGAAAATATTATACATATTAGGTAACAAGTTTTCGAAAACCTCATTATTTACAATTTATTCTTATTCCAATGTTATAAAACGGAAAAAAAACGGACAAAATAATTCAAATTCAAAAAGATATTATGTGTAACTTTAAACACTTCTAATACTAGTAACGACTGACATAAATATTTAGTGATTCAAATCAAAACGATCTCTGCATAATTTCAAATTACTAAAAAAAAAAAAGAAAAGAAAACCACATATGGGTTTTGAACTCTAATCGTCTGCGCCGCAGTGTCGAATTCTTACCACTAAATCCACGAAGGACTGATGTTTTATTTCCGTGACAAGAGTGTATGAAACTCCTCAAATCATAGAAATTATTTTTGGTTAATAATTTAAAACTTTAGATTAAATAATCACTATTAATTAATTTATTTTATTCACATTTTTGCTTTATTGTGGTCAATCATTTTTTTACTTTATGCGAAATTAAAAAATGTCACTGAAATATGTTACACATACGACGTCACAAATAATAATTATGACCGAGGTGATTTAGCTGGAAGCTAACATCTAAAGGTGTGAGACTATCGATAGTATTAATGCAATGTAATGTAAATTATAGGTTTCTATCGATTATTTCCCACCTCTAGGAGTTTCATCTCTTTTTATTTCACAAGGTAACGTGTTTTCTATCTCTTACGTTAAAAAGCAGGATGATAAAGCACTCACCACTGTATATATATATATAAATATATATATATATATATATATATATATATATCATATATAATATATATATATATATATATATATATATATATATATATATATGATATGATTTGAATTCAACCTAATGACGATACAATGACAACTAAAAAAAAACATATCCATTAAATAATAAAGTAGATATTCTATTTACTGGGTCAATCTGTGACATTTTACTTATAAAACCAGTCTTATTTAGCTTATGATTTAAATTATTTGTAGGTGGTTGTTCAATACCTGTCTTAAAAAGCGTCAACATAACCAGGCATCAATACTTAACACCAAAAAAGAATAAATTGTATAGCAAATTGGTCGAGTCAAGTATTAGAATCCGTAGATTGTCATACAAAGTGTCCAGTTACCAAAAAAAAATAGAAGCTGCTGAACAAATGTCCAAAACTGGACATTTTTAAAAAGATTTTAGAAAGTGTAAATCCCTTAATATATAAATTCAGTCTATTGCAAATATGTACCCAAAAACAGAAATCAAAGGGTAGAAAGTTTTCAGAGTTGATAAGTTGACAAGAAGATTTTAGCGTTAACATTATTTAAATGTAGTGGAAAGGGCTACAAACTTCTTTCAAAAATTTTTTCTTTGCCTTCTAGAAGAACATTAACAAATTAATTAAACAAAATTCCTCTAAATCCTGGAATTAATGAATTAATGTTTAATACATTAAAAAGGAGTATCAAAAAAATGACTCCAAAGGACAGGAATTGTATTTTTGACGAAATGTTTTTATCTACAGGCATTCAATATAAACAAAAAAGAAGATATAATTGAAGGCCTAGAAGACTATGGAACAGAAAGGTGTCCCAGTTTTGCAAATTATATGAATGTTTTTATGATTAAGGGCATTTACAGGCAGTGGAAGCAGCCAATTTGTTATACATTTAGTGATGATGCAACAAAAACTGTAAAGTTAAAATTGTTCATCCTGAAGATTATTGAAGAACTTCAAACAATTGGCTTAACAGTTGTAGTAGCGGTATGTGACCAAGGGGGACCAAACCAAGAAGCTGTTAACTCTTTATTATAGGAATCAAAGGCAGTATTTTACAGAAATGGGGAAGAATACAAATATTTCGGGTTTATTGTAAACAATAAAGAAATAGTTCCTTTATATGATTCTCCCCAGTTATTTAAAGGATTAAGGAAAAATCTATTAAATAAAAATCTGCATTTTGAAATTGATGGCAAGGAAGGTATTGCTAAATGGGAACAAGTTGAACAATTTTATAATTTAGATGCTTTGGAACCTATACGCATTTGCCCTAAATTAACAGATAAACATGTTTTGCGAG